CTAAAACCCCACCTTTCCAGTTCCATGAGCCATTTCTCAGAATCCCCTTCTCTACCTCCAGACTCCGCTATCTATAGTTCTTGCTTAGGTACTTCTGTGGTCTTTCAGAAAGAGCATGGACCCTTCCCCTAGAACTGACAGAAGTTTTCCCAGTTCTTCTTCCCTAGGGCCTTAGCTCTGATCTGCTATCACCCAGGCAGGAGGTGGGAAAGCAGGGTATTCTTGGCAAACTAATGCACTTGAGGTTTACCTCTTCCTTATACGTGATTGAGAACTCTTGGTATGAAACCTCATACTAACTTAATGTGACTATTCAGTACATTTCTTAAATCTTTATCTCTATAAGCTAGGACATAACCAGACAATGGCCATTTGCCCAATAATACTATAGGGTTCAGGGTTCCCTAGTTTTTTAAGAACTCTAAAAACAGTTCTCAGTTTACATAAGTAGGTTATTCTACAGACCTCTGTGTAAAGTGATTTTTATATAATATGAATCTCCCTCCCTCCCCCCTACTTAACCTATATAACAAAAGCATACACAAAATAATTTATTTTTTAGTTTGACTCTTCTTGAAGCCATATGTGGTTTTCTTGGCAAAGATACTGGAATGGTTTGCCATTTTCTTCTCCAGTGGATGAAGGCAAACAGAGGTTAAGTGATTCACCTAGGGTCACTCAGTTAGTGAGTTTCTAAGACCAGCTTTGAATTCAGATCTTCCTGACTCCAGGCTGAGTGTTCTATCTAATGAGTCCAAGGCAAACAGAGTTACTTGTTCAGGGTCACACAACTAGTAAGTGTTTGAGACTGGATTTGAACTCAGGTCTACCTGACTTGAGGCCCAGTGCTCTATCCACCGCACACAAAATAATGCCATTATGCAAGTCATAAAATGTTCTAAAATGCAGATGTATTAAATACTATGCCATGATAATAAAGAGCTATGAAATGACAGACAAAGTTAATGATAAAATGTATATGGTACTATACGGTGAAGTTAACATAGGTGTACAGTCTCTTGTTCCTTCTCCACCCACTGTACCCAGCCTTTATCTCTGCTAAGTTACCGAGAGATATTTGGACAGTGGCTCTCTTTTCCTTGTATATTTGACGATTGTAAGCAATATTATCTTCAACTAGTCTTTGAACTTTAAAAATCGCAAAGTATTTGGATCCATCTTTTCAGGATGAGAAAAAAATTCACTCAAATGATGAAATGCTTCAGCCAGCTGTTTCGTTGTGAATCTTTTTGGTTTGACCTCACTTCTGAAGCTTCCTTTTTTTCTTCTGCAATCTCTGCAGCTAACAGCTCAATCACATCCACATTGAATATTTCTTCTCTATGAGACTCAATCAACTCCTCCACATCTTTCTCATCCACTTCTAGCTCCAATTCTTGTGCTAATTTTACAATCTTGCTACTTATTTATTCCAATGTTTCATCTTTGTCAAATCCATGAAAATCAGGAATAAAGTGTGGTCACACTTTTTTCTAAACTTTCTTTATACATGTTTCTGTTACATATTCCCATGTCTTAGCTATATTCCACATTGCATGGTAAATATTATAGGACTTCCAGAAACCTCTCAATGTGAAGTCCTCATCTGCATCCAAAGCTGCAATTGCCTGGGCAAATGTAATATGTAAACAATATGCCTTGAAATTTACAATCCCTCCCTGATCCATAGGTTGTAATAGTGAGGTAGTGTTAGGGAGAAGGTAGACCCCTTTTACATTTTCATTAAAATCATCCAGATGGGGAGGGTGACCTGGGACATTATAGAATGCCATCATTATTATTACAAAACTTCACCACTTCAGGAGTGAAGCAGTGCTTAAATCCTTGTTCAAAGATGATAAAGGTTATCCATGTCTTAGGGTTAGCAATAATGCACAGGTAGTGTTAACCTTGCTGATTCCTTTCAATGCTCTGAGATTTTCTGAGTGGTACACAAGAGTAGGTTTTAATTTGCAAGTCCCGGATACGTGCCCTCCAAGCAGAAGAGTAACTGTTTTTTTGACGTTTTATGCTCCAGCATAGTTTTTTCCCTCCACCAAGATGTAGGTTTGAGATACTTGATAAAATAGATGAGTTTTGTCTACACCAGGCCTGTACAACCTGTGGCTCACCGAAGGATCTCGGGCAGCCCAACATTTTTCACAGGCCACTCAAAATCATATGGTAGGCCACAGGTTGTGCAGGGTTGGTCTACATTAAAGATTTGCTTGAGCAAGTAGGGACCTTCATCTATTATTTTTTGCAGGAAATCTGGGAACTTCTTTGCTGTTTCAGTATCTGTACTAGCAGCCTCTCCCGATACTTGCACATTATGAAATCCTGCAAGATTTTAAAATAATACAAACCATCCACTTCTTGCTGTAAATACCTGTGTTCCTTCAGGGTACTTTACCTTTAAGTCTTCAAAGAGGCTCTGGGCTTTGGCTTGAAATTTCGTCAGACTCAACGGAATATTCTGATCTTGTTCTTCTATCCACACAGTTAATAATTTCTCCATCTCTAGAATAGCATCTTCTCTCTGCTTTGACGGATGAATTGACTTCATTGCAAGCATTGCCTTTTGCAGTGTTTTATTTGGGCATCATCTTTCACTATGGTGTTTACAGTTGACACAACAAGACTAAGTTCACATACTATTGATGACAATTTTGGTCTCCATGCTTTCTAATTATTTTCATTTTCATTTCCAAGTCTATTGGTTTATGCTTATGAGATGGTTCACTTTTCCTCTCAAGAATGTGTTTGTTGCCAGTCATGGTGAAAATGTAATGAGCAGTATCACTGTATGCAGACACAGGGGGACTAACTTAATGATACTTCTCAGCTTCCCACCACCCTTTATGCTAACTGCATCATACCTACAGTGTCTACTTTGCATAAGGAATTTTCAAATTTTTGGAATGTGGATTTCTTTCAGAATTCAGTAACGTTGAATTTGCAATGCAAATTTATGTGTATTTATCTGTTTTTCCTATTGGTCAGTGCCAATGAAGAGGTGAGGAAAAGGGTAAAGGGCAAAAGGGATTGAGGCAATCTATGCCTGGGAGCAAGTTACTAGTGCTGCTCAGTTTTTCCTGGCCTTTTCATATGTAAATGAATTATTCAAAGCTTAAAATTTTTTATTAGGTCCAAATGACCCTGTGGTACCAATGGAGTATGAATGGAATATATCCTTTCACAGCTAAAATTTCCATAAATTAAATCTTTAATACAGATGTAAAGGCTTTTAAAAATCTGTTATAGCCTAAGAGACTAGATTTTTGAATATTTTGTAATTCAATGGAAGTATTAATGGGAAAACTGGCCAATGAGGGCCCAGTCCTTAAAGCATGTTGAATTTATCCTTCTTTGTTGGTTCTCTAGAGCACGAATGATATCACCTGCTTGTTTCCATTCAACTTGTGGAGTCTAGTGACTAGGGGGCTGGTTCAAGAACTGCTGTGACCCACTGGGGGTGAGGGGGGAGGCAGTGGCAGTAGATGCTACCCTCTTTTTCTACCCAGCTGCATGTACTTGAATACAAACCTCTCTTTTTCCTGGTTTGTGTTTATTCTTATTTACTAGTATTCTTAGAAGTGAGTGCCCAGGCAACCAATGTGTTCAGAGAGCCATCAAAGGGGTCTTACCAGCAATCAGAGTTATATCACCTCATCAGCAATGGCAGCCAAATCTAGTAAGAATCTAGCGTAGCAGCTAAGCAATCTGCTTGACCCAGTCCAGCAATGGATTTACCTGTCATCCAGGATACCATGCTGTCAAGGAATCATCCAAAATGAGTCATTTATCATTGACACAATGCTCAGAAGCAAACCTGGTGGGGACTCAAAGGGGAGAAAAGGATTCCTCAGGTCAGTATAGTTATCCCTTCCACATTGTGACTTTGCCTATCTTGGTTTAACTTTGTAATGGGTTGGCATAAGAAATTAAATGGAAAATATTGGGGAGTTTTGTGGAAGCCACAGATGACATGTGAAGGCCAGCAGATGACACAGAAAAAATTTAGAAACTCAGAAATGCATAAAATATATGTATAATATTATATATCAACATATATTATTTGGTAATATTATAATAATTTAGACTTCTTCTCTGGTACAAAGGGAGGGCCAAAAAATTTTACACAGACTTTCCAAATTTCAGAGGTGTCACACCCTTACCCCCCATAATGTGGAAGGGATAACTGTAGTTGTAAGGTAACCGCACTTGTTCCCTATCTATGTGCTTCACAACTTTGTGCTCTAAGCTTGAGCACACTCTCCTCAAGGTCTGTGCAGTGGGAAAAGTTTGCTTTGGATTTGGGGATGCTTTGTAACTTCTGTCTTTGCTATACTTTCCCATTAAATATGTTCTGAAAATGCTAATTGATGTCAATTGGTTGATATATATTGGGGAACACACTGGATGGGGGCTCATGGGCAACCATATTAGAAATCCTAGCCCCTCAAGGTCTCTCCTAGAATCCTGAGGGAAGTAAATTTATTACCTTCTGGGGGAACCTAATCTGCTAGTCTAGTGTGAATTGGGAAAATTAGCACAGAATGGGTGCTAGAGAAGTACTATATCCTGGAGGCTTTTTGAACAAATATTGACCTTTGTTTTGCAAGACTTTTGTTTGTTTTACAGTGGATTTAGCTGGCAACAACTTGTCTCCAGAACCAGGATGTAGTCATTATCCCTTACATTGAGAGATGATGAAATAGTACTTAAGAAGCTGTAACTAGACAATTGAGCTCAGTAGAGAGACTCTGCTTAACTGCAAGAAACCTAGGTAGCCAGTTTAGGAGAATTTCCGTGGATTTTCTGTGAGCATAAATCTGAGAGAGAAGAAATAAAGTGGAAAAAGTCATAAACTTTTTGGCAGTCAAGTGCTAAAAGATCCAGTCATGATGTTTTTTTCTTGACATTTTGTAAGTGCATTTTTTTCAGCACTGAATAATATATTAGAATTTTTTTTCTTCTTTTCTCCCACTGGAAACTAGGAAAAAGCAAAGAGGATTATCTATTTACAAGACTAACTGCAATATACAATGGCTATTGAACTAACAATGAAATCCATGCAATATATGGGAAAACATATGGTTCACAGGAAAAAGAAAAAAAATGGTCAGAATGGAGCACTTGTTTTCCCAAGCAATAGTGATGAATTATTTTTCAAAAGAGGTAAGTAACAATTTATTTACATGAATTAGTAGTTCTGAAAATTTGGCATAGTAGTAGTGTATTACATAGGGGTGGTAAGGTAAATTCATTTTACAAATTCATTTTACAAAATTCAGACAGACAACTGATGATGGTTTGCTTTTATGGGCTACTGTAAAGTATTCTTTGTATGCTTGTATGAGCAGTCAGAACTTTGGTGAAATGTGTCTTGCAAGGCAATGACTACAAATGGCTGCCCAAGAGTAAGGTTTTTGGGGATGTTGAGTGTGACTGACTGGTTGAACAATTATTGGACGTTGTTGCTGTTTGTCTCTCCCTGATTCTAATACTACCCTTTGTTGATGACTGTTGTCCATGGACATGAAGTGAGAACCTAGACCTCTAACTAGCCAGAACTATGCTAGCTGGAACTGTATGAGGCAAATGTAGTTGATGGACTGATGTGCAGACTGTGGGGGGAAGAATGGAGAATAATAAATCTTTTCTGGAGAGTGGGGCTCTAAAGAACAGATTATATTAGAAATATTAGAAAGGCTCAACACCAAAAGATGATGAATTTCTTAGCTACAGCGACTTCTGAAACCATCCACCCAAGTATGGAGGAGTTGCAGTTTGCACATTAGGAGAGTTCTCAGGTTGATGACATCATAGATCCTTTGCCAATGGAAATAGTTATTATTAATGTAATACTCCCTCTGTACTACCTCTTTCTCTTACCAAAATTTTGCTTTCAGATTAGGGGGTTACTCTGGGGGTGACTATCCCAGATTGACAGCACCTTGTAGAGCTGAACTTCTAAAACTATTCTTCATGAGCCCTCCTATTCATGGCATTAATAGTCAATTGACACAATTAGCTTAAAGCAAAGCCATTTGCTGAAATGGCACAGCATGAAAGCAGTAACAAAATATTCATTCCATAGACCTGGGTCATACTCTCTCACAAATATAGGCAGTGTTACTTGGAAGAGTGGACAAAGTTCATTAGTTTATTAGAGTTCATGTTTATTAGGAATATGCATAAGCAGCAACACATGTAGCCAAGGTAACTCCCACTCCAGGTACTTCAGGGTCCTTATTGTCTTTGATGTCTTTTCTCATTTTACATTGTTCTCCTGCATGGAATATCTCTGGTGGGCAAGCCATTCTGCTGGACTCCCTGGTCTGCTCTTTTCCAGAGCCTAACATAACTCCACAGCTGGACTCTCTGAACTTGTCTTCTGCTGGGCATGGGAATTCCTACTAGGCAAGTTGCTCATCTGCAAGATGCTCATTGCCAATGATAGAGGGGGAGGAAGAAATTCTCTCCTCTCCTCTGTACTCTGGAAGAGGTGCAAGGCAAAAGTTAAATGTAATATGTCAATAGTTGAAATCTTTCCTCAGAGCTATCTCTCATCTCTATTGCTAGATCTTCTGAGCTCTTGATTTTCTCCAGAGCTGTCTAGCGTTTTTTGTTTTTTTTTTTTTAAATAATGGTCCAAGAACTGTGGCTGATTCTCTCAGCTGATCACTAGATGTTTCCTGTGTCCTTTGGCTTCATTCAAGGGTCATTACTGAGGTTGCTTAACTAACTTTTTTGTGCTTCCTAAAAACTTTACACTGACCAAAGTCTGAAAGGGACATAGCCTGTGAATAGGTCACTTGTGTGAGCCTTTCCAGGCTTCGTGTCCTTTACAATATCATCAGTATTATTAATTTATGTCTAGTAGCCTGGTCTAATTAGATTTGAAAGAGGAACATATGAAGAAAAATTCTAAAATGGCCTTGGAATGTACCATTTGGTATAGTAGAAAGTGCCCTGAACTTTGAGTCAGAAGATGGTTGGGCTATGGACAAGTCAGTTACTATTTCAGGGCCTCAATTTCCTTACCTATAAATTGAGAGGACTGTACTAGAGTTATTTTAAATTTTTAAAAATTCATTTTATTTTATTATTACTTTTAAATTATTACTAGTTGTTATGTATATTTATATACAAAATTATAGTATAAATAATATAAAATATCACATATAAATTTATTAGTTATTATTAGTTTTACTATTTGTTCCAAAATTTTCTTTCCCACCTCCCCCTCTCCCATCCATTAAGAAAGCAAGAAAAAACAAAACTTGTTACAAATATGTATAATTAAGCAAAACAAATTCCCACATTAGCCATGTCCAAAAAATATGCTTCAGTCTGTACTGATACCATCACCTCTTTATCTAGAAGTAGATACTATGTTTCATCATGAGTCCTCTGGAGCTCTTCCATGGTGTTGATCTGAATTTATTAAGTCTTTCAAAGTTGTTTGTTCTTTAGAGTATTATTACTGTATAAATTATTCTCCTGATTCAGTTCAGTTCACTTTGTACCAATTCCTATGTCTTCCCAGGTTTTTCTGAAACTATCTCTCTCATCATTTCTTAAAGCACAATAATATTTTGTGTTTGTGTATGTGTATGTGTACATAGATATGCCCACCTCCCTCTGTCTGTCTCTCTCTGATAACTTGCTCATTCCCTAGTTGATGGGCATTCATTCAGTTTCCAATTCTTTGCCACTATGAAAAGAACTGCTACAAATACTTTTTGTATTAGATTATTTTAAGATCTCTTCCAGCTTTGTGTGAGTTATGGAATTGAAGTTGTTACTTTATGCACAGTGGGTGATACTGACATCTAGGGGGCGCTGGAGTGATCCAGGGGGGTGGTAGTAGCCTCTGGTGCAATTGCAGGGCATTGAATAAGAATAAGGGGGCAGGGGAAGCATGAGGAAAGAAGAGAAGATAAGAAAACTTTGAAAAACCATTTGTACACGTTTCGTCTGTTCTGTAACAGAGTTAAAGTCATAGTGATTACATTATTTTTCAAATAAACACACAAAATGCAAGTTATAATTGATCAGTGGTCAAGTCTACTGACTGGCCAACAAGAAGTGTTGGCAGGTGAACATGTCTCGCATTGTCAGGAAGTCCTGCATGCATCCACAGGAATAAGCATGTAATGACTTGATTACAATACAATACTATACAGTTACATGATGCAATGTAACATCATCAAAATTTCAATGCACGACACAATCCCACTAATTTTCAATAAATTATTAAATTTAAGATGTATTGTTTTAAAAAAATATATATATATTTTTGAAATGACCCAAATTTAAAAAAAAATTAAAGGGTTAAAGAAAGTAGACTTCCAAGGGGGCGCTGAGTAAATTTTTTTTTTTTAGAGTCATGTCCATGACTATAAATCACATTGTTAATGCAGAATTCCATCAGTGTAGGATAGGCATAGCAATGTAGATGCACTGAGCACAGTACCATAAGTACCATGAGGCTGGTTTTACTAGTAGATTGCTACCATGTAAGTGCTATTAAAGGGGCATTTGGAAAACCCTTTTTGTCCTTCAATCAATAAATTAATCAAAAAGCATTTAGGCACTGTACCAGGTGCCGAATACATAAAGACAAAAATGAAACAGTCTTGCCCTCAAGGAACTGACATTCAGTTAGGAGAAAGCCCAGGCACGGCATCATCCCGCAACTCTCTTTAAAGACCTAGCTCACTTATCCTACCAGAATTCATGCTGGCAGTTTCAGGGTAGTGTCCTTAGAGTGGGTGGCAATGCCTACTCAAATTTTCTCAGCATCCTAGGGATATGTATGTGTGTATATGTTTCTATGATACTCCTACTATGTGCCACTATAGCTACTAAGTATCTACCATTGTGTTTCTCATTTATACAAAATCAGTCATTGACTCTTAAATATGAAACATTTACTAAACAAGAAAGTAAAAGCAAGAGTAATCATAACATTTATTCATCAGAATGAGGGTGACAAAATAATCCAAATATATTAGTCCAACCCACAAAACTGGATCAATCCTCTGTTATTTAAAGGATATTCCCTTAGTTTCTTGTTTTTTGCCACTACAAAAAAAAGCGCAGATATAAATATTTGTATGCATATAGGAAATATGAAAAAATTCCCTCATTCTTTGGTCTCTTTGGGATATAGGCCTAGTAGTTGTATCACTGGATCATAGGTTATACACATTGTATTGACTTTTTGGGCATAGTTCCAACTTTCTTTCCAGAATGACTATACAAATTCACAACTCTGCTAGTGGTGCATTAATGTGAATTCCTGTTTTCTACTGCAGCCTCCCCAACATGTGTGGTTTTCCTTTTTTGTCATCTTTACTAATGTGATAACTAAGGTGCCTTAGAATTATTTTAATTTGCAGTTATAAAATTCTCTAATTATTAGTGATCAGCAATATTTTCACATGACTGTTGATGGCTTGTATTCTATCTGTTTGTAACCTTTGACCATTTATCATTTGGGCAATGGCTTTTAGTCTTACATAAATTTAAATCAATTATATTTTAGAAATGATACCTTTACCAGAGAAATCTGCTATAACATTTTTCTCAGTTAACTCTTTACCTTCTTATTTGATAATATATCAATAATAATGTTTGTGCAAAAATGTTTTAGAGAAAATTGTCAATTTTTGTCTCCTGTGATTCTATCCTTTGTTTCATTCTGAACACTTTCTCTCTCCATAGATTTGAAAATAAATTTCTTCCTTCTTCTGATTTATGATGTGATTTTTAAACCAATGCCAAATCATTTGGTTGAGATCTGGTACTGCTAAACTTTCGTCCTCACTTTTTTTTTCATATTTCCCTTGAGATTCTTGAGGTTCCTCCAGATAAATTTATAAATTTTTTTCTAGCTCTACAAAGCAATTCTTTGGTAGTTTGATTGGTATGGTATTGCATAAATAAATAAATTTCATACTGTCATGTTTATTGTATTGGCTTGACCTGTCCATGAATAATGAATATTTGCAGACTGGTGAAGCCAATGGATCCCTTCTCAGAATGTTTTTGAATGCACAAAGCAAACCGTATAGTATTATAAAGGAAACAAAATTTCAAAATACAAAATATTAAAAAAAATCACAGACCACAGGTTAAGAATCCTTGCTGTAAAGAGTGTTTCATACTTCTATTAGTATAGTTTCTGTGTGTCTTAGGAGGCAGACTCCTAAATATTTTATATATATATCTCTTCCATTTGAATTTTATTGGTAACATCCAGAAATGTTGATGTTTTATGGTTTTATAACTTTTCTAAAGTTATTGTTTCAATTAATTTTTAGTTGATTCTCTAGGGTCCTCTAAGTAAACCATCCTATCTTTTGCAAAAAAGATTTCTCTGTGCCTATGCTTATTCCCTCTTTTCTTGTTTTATTGTCTTATTTCAATAGCTAGCATTTCTAGCACTATATTAAATAGCAATGGTGACAATGGGCAGCTTTGTTTTGCTTATGTTCTTATTGAAAAGCCTCTAGTTTTCCCCTATTATATATAATGCTGACTTGATTTTAGATAAATATTATTCCTATGTTTTCTAGTGTTTTTTAAAACAGAAATGGATATTGTATTTTGTCAAAACCTTTTTCTGTACCTATTGGCATAATCATGATTTTTTTGTTCTTATTAATATGGTCTATTTTGTTTATAGTTTTCCTAATATTGAACAAACCCTCCATTCCTAGTATAAATCCAATCTGATGATAATGTATGATTTTTTTTCATAAAGTCTCTTTCCTATATCCTGTTTACTAATATTATATTTAAAATTTGTGCATTGACATTCAGTTGGGTTATTGGTCTGTAGTTTTCTTTCTGTTTTGATTTCATGCTTTATCAGTCAATTAATAAACAATTAATCAATAAACATTTATTAAGCACCTACCATATGCCAGCGGCTGTGCTAAGCCCTGGGATATAAAAAGGGGCAAAAGAAAATACCTGTCCTTAAGGATATCACAATCTAATAGGAGAGTCAACAAACAAACAAGTGTATGCAAACACGATATACACAAAATAAATGGGGAATAATTAATAGAGAGAAGGCATTAGAATTAAGAGGGATTGGGAAGAAGCCAGTATCATTACTTCCAGTGTTATTCTCAACTCGTTCTTGCTCATCCCATGTACCAATACTTTAGTTGCCAAATCTTGACCTTTCTCCCTATATAATGATTCTCATATATGTCCCTTTCACCCTATTAGTGTAATCGTAACCCTAGTTCAGACTTTCCTCAGCTTTTGCTTGAACTATTGTAATAGTTTTCCAATTGGACTCCTGTGTTCTAGCCTCTTCTAGCCCCAACTGATCTTCCACTCAGCTGCCAAAGTGATTTTTTTGAAGTGTAGGGTCTGACCCTTTACTCTCCTGTTCCGTGAACTCAAGTGGCTCCCTATTAACTACAGGATCAAATATAAGGTCCTCTGTCATTTAAAGCTCTTCACAACCTTGCCCCTTCTTACCTTTCCAGTCTTTTTTACACTTTATTCCTCATAATGTACTCTACAATCCACTGCAATTATTTGCAGTTACATGAATACAACATTCCATCTCCCATCTTTGTTCCTTTGCATCTGTCATACCTACGATGTCTCTCACCCATACCTTTTAGTTTTTTTGGCTTCTTTCAACACTTAACTCATCTCACCTTCTGTGGGAGGCCTTTCTTGGTCCCCTCAGATGATAATGCTTTCTCCTCCAATATTGCCATTGCCTTCTATTTATTCTTTAATGGTAAAAATTCATAATTTATTTATCTCATTTGATCATAACATATGAAAACTCCTTTGTAAACCTTAAAGTGCTATATATATTTGTGTGTATGTGTAAATAACTGTGTGTATATATATATATATATAATATACACATAAGTAATGTATAACTTGTATATATCTACTTCCCTCCATTAAAATGTAAGCTCCACAAGGACAGGTATTATTTTTGTCTTTCTTTTTATCTCTGCCACTTAAGCACAGTGCCTGGCACATAGCAAATGCTTAATAAATGCTTGTTGACTGATTAATTGACTGACTAGGAAGAAGGTGAAGCACAATTTACTGTGAGGAATACATAGTCTTTACAATCCAATAACGCAGGGGGACACACTAGTCAAAGCAATTTAAAAAAAATGCTGCTTGTCCATTTGTCCTCCAGAAAATCCAGACCTGCTTTGTATCTTGTAATTTGTTTTGTGGCTTCTCTCTTTTCTTTATTTGGACCAGCCACTTCAAGAAAATGACCTCGAGGGGCCATGCTCCCCTCTCTTCTTTCTCTTGGGAATTAATCCACACAGTTTTGGAACTCTGCTCTGAGACTGAACTGTACTGATGATTAGGTGAGTGAATGCAAACTTATCTAACACTGTATGTCTAGCCATCTACGGACCATTCTTCATATCTTATCCAGCCATCTTCTAGGAAGCATGGGCCTACTTGTGCATCTTGCTGTCTGCCCTGTCATTGCATTTATACTTTCACCCCCTCCTCCAAATTCCTCCACTTCCCCCTTTTTTCTATCTCTTTCCTTGGGCATAATAATCATATCAGTACTATGATTGTTTCTGGAAAGAATGTGACAATAAGTTGACCTGTGACTCCCCAGACCAAAACTCTCTTCCTTGGTTGCCACTCTCCTCCATGTAATGGATTTCCCCATCTTGAAGGCAGAGACTGATGGGACTCATCGGAAAAGATCTTAATGTTGGGAAAGATTGAAAACTAAAGGAAATGGGGACAGCAGAGGATGAGATGGATAGATAATATCATGGAAACAAACATGAACTTGGACTTATTTTGAGAGATAGTGGAGGATAGAAGGGCTCACCATGATTGAACGACTGAACAACAACTGTCTCACTTTTGTATTTGTATCATCAGTGACCAGTGCCTGGAACATATTAGGCATTTAAGAAATGTTTTTTCATTCATACATTCCTTCCTTGCTGCCTAAAAATGTGGCCAGGCCTCTCTCATCCTAAAAAAAATTCTCACTTAATATTTCCCCCTTACTTTCACAGCCAAATACTTAAAAAAGTTATTTATTCTTGTTGCCTGATTTCCTCTCTTTTGTTTACATCTCAGCTCTGGGTAAGCAGCCTTCTGGCCTCATCATTCAACTGAATTTGCTCTAATTTTACTAATTGCCAAATCCAATGGTCTTTTCTCAGTCCTCATCCTTAACACTGTTGAGTGTGTTTTCCTGCTGGATACTCTTTCCTCTTTTGATTTTACTGACATGGGTCTTTCTTGATTCTACTCCTATCTGTTTGACTTTTCATTCCCAGGCTTCTTTGCTTGGTCATCATATATTTTCAACTTCCTAACTATGGAAGTATCCCAAGGCTTCACCTCCTCATTCTCTAAATTTTCTCTGTTGGTGACCTAATTAGCTCCCCTAGGTTTAATTATCATCTCTATACTTATGACTCCCATATTTATGTATCTAGCCCTATGCTGTCTTCTGAGTTACACTCTACCATCACCAACTGCCTATTTGACGTTTTAAAACATATCCTGTAGGCCTCTCAAACTCAGCATGTCCAGAACAGAACTTACTGTCTTTTCCCCCAAACTGACCTCTTCCTATTTCCTTCCTATTTCTATCAACTACATCACCATTCTTCCAGTCACCAAGGTTTGCAATCTCTGACTTCTCATTATCTTTTATGTTACATATCGAATCAGCTGCCAAATCTTGCTTCTGCTTTCACAAAATCTCTCACATCCAGCTCCTTCTTTCTTTTCCCATGCCTATCACACTATTCCAGGCCTTCATCACTTCTTTTCTGAATTATTGTAAAAGCCTTCTCCTACTTGATCTCCTCACTAGGATTAAATGAGATATTTGTAAAGCACTTAGCTCAGTGCCTGGCATGTAGTAGGCACTATATAAATGCTTATTCTCTTACCTTTCCTTTCCTTCCCTTCTGCAGCTTAAAGTCTTTCCCCACTCTCACTCAACTGCCAAATGAGCTTCCTAAAGTGTAGGTCTGACTGTCATTCTACTATTGAATGAACTCCAGTGGTTCCCTACTACAAATACAATTTGTAATTTATGCATATTGTATATTATACAAATTTTATACAGACTTGTAAATTATATAAATACAAATGATTAAGTGCAAACTTCTCTGTTTGACATTTAAGGTCCTAGTTCCAACCCTTTTATATATCACTCCCCTTCCTGTACTTTATCAGCTAACCATACTGGTCCTCTTGTTCTTTCTCACACAGAATACTCCATTTCCCGTGTAAGGTACCATCCCTTTCATATATGAACAATTTGGCTGCTAAAAGGGGCAGAAAATGAACATTTGTGTAAGGACTATAGGTAAAATCCACTTGTGAAGAAACAAATTTCTTCTGGACAAAATGCTGAGAGATAATAGACTGTTCTGATCCTGGGATAAAGAACTGCCCTGCAGAAGAATGTACTCTGAAAGGACATGTTTAAAGGCAGTGATGACTTGAAATATGATAGCTTTGGGGCATTTGGTCCATCAGCTCATTTGTATGTGACTTTTTAGAGTTTTGAAGTTTAAAGCTGACAAAATTACAAATCAAGTGACTGTTTGGGGACTATAGAAGGAGTTTTGACTTCATGCCTGACATAAAATTGTTTCTTGAGTTTTAAAAACTGTGACTGACCACCAGGAAGTGCTAAAATAAATTGTCCGTTTTCATACATTAACCCAAAAAACTGTTTGTTTACACGTGACTTTTTATCACTTCTTCTTACAACAAATATTCTTTCTCTGCCCCCTTCAGTGCCCAAACTGTTCACACTTTAAAGGTGATAATAATTCGTTTTATGAGTCTCCATGTCTTTGCACATTCTGGCCCCCATGCCTGGAACAACACATAGAGTTTTATGATTTGCACATCTTAACTCATTTGAGCCTCACAACAGCCCTATGAGGTAGGTGCCTCCATTTACCCCCATTTTACAGATGAGGAAACCAAGGTTTAGAGAGGTCAAGTGACTTACCCAGGATTACACAGCTAGTAAGCTATCTAAGGCAGGATTCTGAGGAATTTGAAATCAGATCTTCCTGACTCCAGGTCTAGCACACTATTCACTAGTGCCACCTAGCTCAACTTTATCTTTACCTTTACCTCGTAGAACCCCTCTCTTATCCAGTCCCCAAAATTGCTAGTGCCTTCCCTCCTTGACTCTCTTGTCTTAATTCTCTTGTATTTATTTGTTGTATATACTGCATATACTTTTGTATTCTGTGTACATTTACATATGCATATGTTGTGTTCCCCAACAGAACGAAAACTCTTTAAGAACAGAGACTGGCTCATGTTTGCCTTTGTACCCTAGCACCCAGCCTGGCACAGATTTGGTGTAATAAATGCTCCTCGATCGGGTGGATTGATTGGGCGCCCGGGTCTGGACTAGCTGGGGATAGCAAGCAGTGGGGCGTGCCCGGGCGTGCTCCCCCCCTCCCCCGCCCTCCTCTATACGTGGCACAGGCCGCACCAGCCATGTTGCCGGCGCCCTGAGGCTCGGCCCGGGCGAGGGGGGCGGGGCGGCCTCGCCGTCTTGGGGGCGGGGCAGTTGGGTTAGGGCTGCGGAGGAGGCTGCGGCAGACGCGGAGCGGACCCTGCTCGCAGGTAGGCGCCGTTTGCGGGAACCCGCTCCCACTTGCTCAGGGATGGGCGGCTGTGTAGACGCCGAGGCCGGGCGGGCGGGCGTCGGGGGCGCCCCCGGATCCGGGTGGGTGGGAGCGCGGCCCGCGGGCGCCGCGGAGCCCGGAGGGCCTGGCGGTCGCTGGCCGCTCTTCCTGGCCCGGCTCGCCCACCCCCTCGGGGCAGCTTCGCTGGGGCCTTGGAACGGTTTTGTAGAAGGCGGCGCGGGGCGGGGCGGCCGAGCGGAGCCCCCCCAGCCCCGGCCCGGCGCCGGCTCCCGGCCTCACCCGCCCCGGGCGCCTAGACTTCGTACCGGGGCGACCTGTCACCTGGAGCCCGGCGGGAACGCGCGGGGCGGGGGGGAGGCGGGCAGGAGGGAGGGTCGGTCTGCGTCTGGGCTGTGCGGGTGGGTTGGTTTCCAAATAGGACTGAATTTATCCTGTGATGTAGAGGGTGTGAAATGCCCCCAGCATTTGTGTGAAAGGTGCTGCTAATTTATGGAAAATCTATTACCATCTAGTCTATTACAGAATGAAGAACGATTTGTGCGTTGATCTTTTTCACAGGAATGTTTTGTTTAGACTAACTTAACGAGAAAGTACTGATTTAAATATCATACTTATAGCCTTATTCTTTGTTTTTCAACAGAGGGACTCAATTTCATAATTCATTTATAGAATTTTAGAGCCATTAGGGCTCATAGGACCCTTAGGATTTAGTCGGTCAACTGACATTTATTAAGCACTTCCTGTATGTCATTTAGTACTAGGGACTTCCCTCTGAGATTATCCCCAAATTATCTTGTATATATCTTGTTGGTGTTTTAGCTCTTGTCATGTCGTCTCACGTATTAGGTTGTGAGCTGCTTATGGACAGGACATACATTTGTGTTGTGTGTGTGTGTGTGTGTCCCCATCATTTCCTAAGCTTAAAAAATGACTTGTTCATCTTTGTGCCAAACTCTAGGGATACTAAAAAAGGGTTTCAAAGATAGTTTTTGCCCTCAAGGAGCTTACATTTTAATGGAGGAAGACACTTAAGTAACTATGCAAGATTTATTTCTAGGTTAAGTGGAAGGCACTTTGGAACTGGGAAGGGCTTTCGGAAGTTGGCGATTGAGCTGACACTTAAGGAAACAAGAGAAGTTAGCTGGTGGAGGTGAGGAGGGAGAGCACAGAGGACAGCTAATGAAAAAGCAGAGTAAAGAGATGGGAGTGTTGTGGGAAAGGAACACCAAGAGGGCCACTGTCATTGCATTAGAGTTGTAAAGTCGAAAAAGACTGAAAAGGCAGGAAGGGGCCAGGTTGTGAAGCTCTTTAAAGGCCAACGATATTCATGTAATTCAGGGTGTCTTAAGGATAGAAAAATTTGCCAGTCTGGTTGGTGATGGGGTGAGGAGATCAGAGAAAGGCTCTACTGGTAAGGTGACATTTGAGTTGAGCCTTGAAGAAAGATAATGAATTCACAAAAACTTAAGTTCAAATCCAGCTTCAGACACTTACTAGCTGTGTGATCCTGGACAAGTCACTCTGGTTTGTCTCTGTTTTCTCATCTGTAAAATGGGGATAATAATAATAATAATAATAATAATAAGCACCTAACTCTCAAGGTTGTTGTGAGAATCAAATGAGATAATAATTGTAAAGTGCTTAGCACAATGCCTAGCACATAGTAAGCACTATATAAATGTTAGCTGTGATGATGATGATGATGATGATGATTCTGAAAATCAGAGATGAGGAGTATTAAGTTGTGCAGTGCACAGAGGTGGAAGATAGGGGTGGAATGTCAAATTTGGCCATGATATGGGAAACTAATTTAAAGTAAGGCTGGAAAGGTGCAATAGTGTGCTAATTACTTGGGATAGGCAATTTTGATACTATTTCAAGTGTGAGAGAGTCACATAGGTCTTGTCCTATGTGAGTGAGGCTGCTTATATTAAGCTGACTTTTATGGCCAACCTTGACCAGATAAAAACAGATTGAGCTGCTTTCCCCACGGTTAGTTCTCCGTCAGTTGTTTGCTAGATTTCGTACCATATGGATGTTTTTATTGCTTTTTTTGTTGTTGTGTACTAAATTATATAGTTTTTAAGAATAGTTAGTAATAACTCCAAGGAAATGTACTAAAGTTGTGGCTCTTCAAAGATATTACAGTGTATGTTGGTATGAGGAAATCAGTCATTTCAAGGATCAGTTTAATCCAAGTGAAACAAGATCAGTTTCACTGTACAAAGGAAAGTGTGGTTGAAAATAGAAAACACCACCAAGATTGCTGTGAGGCAGCCTAAGTAATCCTCAGAAAGAAAAACTGAAACTTTTAGAGGGATACAGGCTTCTTGAAGTTAGAATATTAGTAAAAATGAAACAGTTGTTAACTGCTGCTATGAAGAAAGAATGCTTGTTATAGGTAAGACAATTCAAACTCTAGAGTTCTAGAGATTGGGAAAAGGTGATTTTTACTGAAGAATTTTACTGAAAATTTTACTGAAGAATTTTCGATCAAGGCTATGCCAAAATTGTTTTTAGGAGAAGTCCAGGTGAGCCTCTGAGATCTGTTCATCTTCATAAATACTGTAAAACATCTATTCTACAGAATGTTTTGAGGAATTTTTACTTCCCAAGGGCCAGGAAGTCTTGTCCTTACTGAGGGAATGATGGACTCTAATTTGGCATATTAAGAAAGCAAAATTATTCCAGAATTACAGAAATTACCTAGTGGAAATGGAATACCACCAACATGGCCTTATGTTATGCCATGTGTCATGAGATATTAAGAAATTTATCTAAGAGATGGAGAAAAAATTACTTTAGTGGTCTGGCTTTGCCTGATTTAAATCCCGTTGAAAACCAATTGACTGTAATCAAGGCTAGACTTGAAAAAGACAGGCTGTTTGCCACATCTAATACTTAATATCCAGTGTGTAGTTTCACAATGAAGAATTTAAAAATATATGTCAAAATCTTGTGAATTCAGTTCTAAATGTTGTAGAAACAAATGGTTAGAACAAAAGAAGGGCTTGTTGCATATTAAAAGGTTTTTTTGAAGATGTAAAAGTTGTAAGCATAATTTGGTAAGACGATAAAATTAATTATTTTACTTTGAACTAGTTGTTTTGCACATCATTGTAGGTTAAAGTTAAATAGTGGAGGACTTCAATGCCAGGTTGAAGTGTTTGTATTTAATTCTAGAGATATTGGGGAGTCACTGAAGGTTATTTAATGGTATGACCTATATGTCAGGAAGATCATTTTGATGTGAATAGAGAGGATGGATTGGAGAGAGAACAGGCTCTTTTTTATACGCTGGTTAAGAGTGTTTAGTTCAAATTCTCACCCACTCTCCCCCCCCCCCCCCCCCCTTTTCTTATGAGGGAAAAGTTTCAGAGATGGTAACTTAACATGCATAAAGTCATACAGTCATTCTATCAATCATTGACAATTTATTAAATACTTTTATGTGCCAGGCACTGTGCTACGTGCTGAGAATACAAAGACAAAAATTTACTTGGGGAACTTAACATTTTATAAACATATATATATACAATAATACAAGATAATTTCTATGGAGGCGGAGAGGGGGTGTTGGTGTTCAGATTTGAATGAAACTAGACATTCTAAGAGACAGAAGTAAGCGGGTGGGCACGCATGGGCACAGTTAGTGCAAAGGCATGGAGATGGGTGATGGAATGTCATGGGTGAAGAGTGTCAAGAAGGCCAATTTAACTTTGATCGTTTTTATTGTTGTTTAGTCATTTTTAAATGTCAGACTCTCTAAGACTCCATTTGGGATTTTTCTTGATAAAAGTATTGGAGTGGTTTTCCATTTCTTTGTCTAACTCCTTTTACAGATGAGGAAACTGAGGCAAACAGGGTTAAATCACTTGCCCAGGGTCAAACAGCTAGTAAGTATCTGAGGTTAGATTTGAACTCAGGTCTTCCTGACTCCAGGCCCTGTACTGTATCCCCTATGTCACCTAGCTAGATCATAGAGTGTGTAAAGAGGAATAATGTA